TAGCATTCTTATTGGCTTAATCCCCTCGTCTCTAGATCATCTTGTAAACACACACCTTAATTTACTGTAAATTTATTCACTATCGGACTGAATTGGGGGTGTGGCTCGGTCTTAAAGGAACATTCGGACTTTAAGTAACCTAAGAAGCCGTAACAGTCAACACGTGGAATGCACTGAAATAAGGTGTGGAAGCCTCCGCCATCCAGATTCAACAAAGCATTTAAACGTTGGATAGTTAAATTGGAAGACGAAGCCCCACTTCCTGAGTCACCCACTGCTTGGGATCACACCAGGAGCCAGATTCACGAAGCAGTTACGCAAGTACTTACGAACGTGAACATCTTTCCTCAAACTTTGACGGCTTTGGTTACATTTATTAAACAGTTTACAAGGATGAAAACTTCCCAATAAACTGTTGTTATTGTTATAAACAGCCTCCTTGTGCTTCGGAGCTCATTAACCGTTTAATAATTGTAAACAGAGGCGCCAAAGATTGAGGAAAGATGTACAGGTTCGTAAGTGCTTGCGTAACTGCTTCGGGAATCTGGCCCCAGGTCACTAGGCCACAGCCATCTCTGGGCACGGCAGGATAGCCAGATCTCACCCTAAGCTATCGTCTATATTATTCTAACCAACCGCCTTAACCTGATCTAGGCTTAAACTAAGGTCCATATGGGTCGTTAACATCCGACGTTCCCAAGTTACAGCCCCGCTCCTGTGCCAGGTAAGTCCACAACGGGCTCACCATAGCCCGTGCTACTTGGAACTTTTTGTTCCAAGTAGAGAATCTTAAAAAACAACTACTGACGTTCCTGGTAGTCAGAGTTTACTTGTAAGAGAGGGCCACAGCTGGCTCTGGGTTTCGTCTGGGTTTGGGCGGCTAGTGGGTCCGGGGTAAAGGTGGGTGTGGCAATAGTGGGAATTGTTCGGAGGTAGAAAGTTAGTTTAGTTCATTTATTATGCACCCCATACCCATCATGTAGGCGGTAGTGGAAAGGGTTACAGAGGCACATAATGGGCTCAGGGACTGAACTCCACAAGTCATTTAGCTAAGCAAGTTAAAAGTTACAGGAGCCGGTGGCTGAGCGGACAGAACACTGGACGCATGATCGTGGGGTCCCGGGTTCGATCCCGGGCGCCGGCGAGAAACAATGGACAGAGTTTCTTTCACCCTGATGTCCCTGTTACCTAGCAGTAAATAGGTACCTGGGAGTTAGACAGCTGTCACGGGCTGCTTCCTTGGGGTGGAGGCCTGGTCGAGGACCAGCCCCGAAATCATCTCAAGATAACAAGCTTGATGAGCTAGTTACAAAATTCAGTATAAGTCGCCACATCAACAATGGGTTCGAGATCGACTACAAGTACAGTTTCTAAATTAAGTAACTAACATATGTGGAGAGATAGTGTCAAAATTGATATGTTTGTCCTGCACACCGCCCCCCATCCAGTGGGCAGCGGTGGATAGGTTACAATCACTTAGTTACTACCTACAGTTTGCAAACTGGGGATATTTGGCTAAGACTTCTGGTAGCAGATCATTTTGAATGAAATATTTACACATCGTTGGAACATTGGTTATAGAATTGTCTCTAAATTTACGTATCTTTTCGCGCCCAGCACCTGACAGCTGGGTTGACAGCGCTTCGGATTCGTGGTCCTGAGGTTCCGGGTTCAATCCTCGGTGGAGGCGGAGACAAATGATCAAAATGTTTCTTTCACCCTGATGTCACTGTTACCTAGCAGTAAATAGGTACCTGGGAGTTAGACAGCTGCTACGGGCTGTTTCCTGGGGGTGGAGGCCTGGTCGAGGACCGGGCCGCGGGGACACTAAGCCCCGAAATCATCTCAAGATAACCTCTCAAGATAGATCACATAGTGACGGAGGGTGTGCGAATAATTTTGTTGACACAGTTTACATTTGGTCAGGTCTACGTCAGCAGATAATGACAATTCCCAGAGATACTTGTAACAGAGTCTAAGCCGAGCAGTAGTAACATCTAGAAGTCTGCGCTGAAAGTAGGGACTGGCGGATGTGAGTCAGGGCTGTGCCGCCTCCCACCGCCCCTCCTGCTCTCCGCCTCCCTCCCCATGCACACGGTATCCCCCCCCCCCCTCCCTTTTCCCAGGCAACAGACCCCCCCCCCTCCCAGCTCTGCCCAACTCTCACTCTCACTTTCGGCTGACCTTGCATCACACGGTCAGCGCGAGAAATGTCTGGTACCTTAACCGGGGAGCAATTGTGAACCAGGCGAGATGTAGCCTGCTGGGTTATGTCCGTCTCTCTCTCCAACATTTCGTCCGTCAGTCGCTCTCCCAACCTTTCCTCACCACAGGAAATAAATTGAGAGAGTGTGTGGGCTATTATTTCTAACTCTTTACTTAAGTCTTTGATCTTGAAAGCAGGCAACCTGTATACAAGTCTTGCTTGCACTGTGTTTTCTGAAGCTGAGCTGAGACTCTTTAGCGAGTGGAAATGTTTTCTAACGTCGTCACCTTCCTTCATGCTGGTGGGCCCTTCCTCCCGTGCCCCCCTCCTCCTCTGCCTCCTTCTCCCCACCTCTATGGTAAAGTCATTGTGTGCCCCCACCCCACCCTGCATCACCAACGTTGCCATTTCCCCCCACCCCTATCCGATGCTCCCACCCCATCCTTCCCCTCCCCATCCTTCCCCTCCCCATCCCTCCCCTCCCCATCCCTCCCCTCCCAATCCCTCACCTCCCCATCCCTCCCCTCCCCATCCCTCCCCTCCCCATCCCTCCCCTCCCCATCCCTCCCCTCCCCATCCCACCCCTCCCCATCCCACCCTTCGTCCCACCTGCATGACGAAGACATTGTGGGTAGCTTACAGTGGCTCCTCGCCACGGCCTCCACAATCTTCCCTTTAGCTTGTAAATGAGTAACAATTTCAGATGTTTGCAATGTAAATAGTTCACTAATCTTTTTCAATTGACAATGAGGACGATATTTGTCTGTGAAGCTGCGGTCATATTTCTTAATATGAAGCAGAGAAGGGCGAGGCTACACTGGTGGCATCCTTCCTGAGAGAGACTGTAACCCACCTTGAGACACTTCCAGATACACTAACGTGCTACACAAGTTTAAGTGCGAGTGGTGTGGGACTGTACCAAATTCTTCCGGACAGTCGAGGAATATGCAGTCTGCCAATCCGTCTCTCACTTGCTTGATCTGTCATCTTGTTGAAGAACTCCAGCAAGTTTGTCACGCAGGATTTTCCGGTACTGAAAGTGTTGGTGCCTTGAGACACCATTTGTTCTTGAAGTTCTACTAGCCTGCTTCTGATCACTCTCTCTACCACCTTACAAGGGATACTTGTTATTTATAAGTGTGTGTCGTGTGTGTTATATGTGTATAATTCATATATGTAATACCATTAAAATAGTTGAAATAGGAGTAATGTTTCATCCTCGTGGCCGACTCGGAAACGAATTTGGTTTTTGAGTTTCAAAAACTGACTTATACTTAAATAATGTTACATTCATTTGAAATTTCTTCCTTAAGTTTAAATGAATTCTTCCATATTCGTGTTGTGACCTGGGGGGGGGGGGGAGGGGGAGGGAATACTCCCCGTGTATAGTGACCTCTGGGTGGGAGAATACTCCCCGTGTATAGTGACCTCTGGGCGGGAGAATACTCCCCGTGTATAGTGACCTCTGGGCGGGAGAATACTCCCCGTGTATAGTGACCTCTGGGCGGGAGAATACTCCCCGTGTATAGTGACCTCTGGGTGGGAGAATACTCCGTGTATAGTGACCTCTGGGCGGGAGAATACTCCGTGTATAGTGACCTCTGGGTGGGTGAATACTCCCCGTGTATAGTGACCTCTGGGTGGGTGAATACTCCCCGTGTATAGTGACCTCTGGGTGGGTGAATACTCCCCGTGTATAGTGACCTCTGGGTGGGAGAATACTCCCCGTGTATAGTGACCTCTGGGCGGGAGAATACTCCGTGTATAGTGACCTCTGGGTGGGTGAATACTCCCCGTGTATAGTGACCTCTGGGTGGGAGAATACTCACCGTGTATAGTGATCTCTGGGCGGGAGAATACTCCGTGTATAGTGACCTCTGGGTGGGTGAATACTCCCCGTGTATAGTGACCTCTGGGTGGGAGAATACTCCCCGTGTATAGTGACCTCTGGGTGGGTGAATACTCCCCGTGTATAGTGACCTCTGGGTGGGAGAATACTCACCGTGTATAGTGACCTCTGGGCGGGAGAATACTCCGTGTATAGTGACCTCTGGGCGGGAGAATACTCCCCGTGTATAGTGACCTCTGGGTGGGAGAATACTCCCCGTGTATAGTGACCTCTGGGCGGGAGAATACTCACCGTGTATAGTGACCTCTGGGCGGGAGAATACTCACCGTGAATAGTGACCTCTGGGTGGGAGAATACTCCGTGTATAGTGACCTCTGGGCGGGAGAATACTCCCCGTGTATAGTGACCTCTGGGTGGGTGAATACTCCCCGTGTATAGTGACCTCTGGGTGGGAGAATACTCACCGTGTATAGTGATCTCTGGGTGGGAGAATACTCCCCGTGTATAGTGACCTCTGGGTGGGTGAATACTCCCCGTGTATAGTGACCTCTGGGTGGGAGAATACTCACCGTGTATAGTGATCTCTGGGCGGGAGAATACTCCGTGTATAGTGACCTCTGGGCGGGAGAATACTCCCCGTGTATAGTGATCTCTGGGTGGGAGAATACTCCCCGTGTATAGTGACCTCTGGGCGGGAGAATACTCACCGTGTATAGTGACCTCTGGGCGGGAGAATACTCACCGTGAATAGTGATCTCTGGGTGGGAGAATACTCACCGTGTATAGTGACCTCTGGGTGGGAGAATACTCCCCGTGTATAGTGACCTCTGGGCGGGAGAAACACTGACAGATCAAATTCCAGCGTTGAGTGCAAGAGCCGTGAATCAATAGGTCCATTTCCTCGTGTGTCACCGACTGGGGCTTAATTTAGCTGCATTTCTAGTGTTATCGACCCAACTGCCTTCCCTGACACGCAAGGGCCGTTCCCCATGACACGAACTGGCGTGGCGGGCCGCCCTGGGTGCGTGCCTGCGGCGTGGCGGGCCGCCCTGGGTGCGTGCCAGCGGCGTGGCGGGCCGCCCTGGGTGCGTGCCAGCGGCGTGGCGGGCCGCCCTGGGTGCGTGGCAGCGGCGTGGCGGGCCGCCCTGGGTGCGTGGCAGCGGCGTGGCGGGCCGCCCTGGGTGCGTGGCAGCGGCGTGGCGGGCCGCCCTGGGTGCGTGGCAGCGGCGTGGCGGGCCGCCCTGGGTGCGTGGCAGCGGCGTGGCGGGCCGCCCTGGGTGCGTGGCAGCGGCGTGGCGGGCCGCCCTGGGTGCGTGGCAGCGGCGTGGCGGGCCGCCCTGGGTGCGTGGCAGCGGCGTGGCGGGCCGCCCTGGGTGCGTGGCAGCGGCGTGGCGGGCCGCCCTGGGTGCGTGGCAGCGGCGTGGCGGGCCGCCCTGGGTGCGTGGCAGCGGCGTGGCGGGCCGCCCTGGGTGCGTGGCAGCGGCGTGGCGGGCCGCCCTGGGTGCGTGGCAGCGGCGTGGCGGGCCGCCCTGGGTGCGTGGCAGCGGCGTGGCGGGCCGCCCTGGGTGCGTGGCAGCGGCGTGGCGGGCCGCCCTGGGTGCGTGGCAGCGGCGTGGCGGGCCGCCCTGGGTGCGTGGCAGCGGCGTGGCGGGCCGCCCTGGGTGCGTGGCAGCGGCGTGGCGGGCCGCCCTGGGTGCGTGGCAGCGGCGTGGCGGGCCGCCCTGGGTGCGTGGCAGCGGCGTGGCGGGCCGCCCTGGGTGCGTGGCAGCGGCGTGGCGGGCCGCCCTGGGTGCGTGGCAGCGGCGTGGCGGGCCGCCCTGGGTGCGTGGCAGCGGCGTGGCGGGCCGCCCTGGGTGCGTGGCAGCGGCGTGGCGGGCCGCCCTGGGTGCGTGGCAGCGGCGTGGCGGGCCGCCCTGGGTGCGTGGCAGCGGCGTGGCGGGCCGCCCTGGGTGCGTGGCAGCGGCGTGGCGGGCCGCCCTGGGTGCGTGGCAGCGGCGTGGCGGGCCGCCCTGGGTGCGTGGCAGCGGCGTGGCGGGCCGCCCTGGGTGCGTGGCAGCGGCGTGGCGGGCCGCCCTGGGTGCGTGGCAGCGGCGTGGCGGGCCGCCCTGGGTGCGTGGCAGCGGCGTGGCGGGCCGCCCTGGGTGCGTGGCAGCGGCGTGGCGGGCCGCCCTGGGTGCGTGGCAGCGGCGTGGCGGGCCGCCCTGGGTGCGTGGCAGCGGCGTGGCGGGCCGCCCTGGGTGCGTGGCAGCGGCGTGGCGGGCCGCCCTGGGTGCGTGGCAGCGGCGTGGCGGGCCGCCCTGGGTGCGTGGCAGCGGCGTGGCGGGCCGCCCTGGGTGCGTGGCAGCGGCGTGGCGGGCCGCCCTGGGTGCGTGGCAGCGGCGTGGCGGGCCGCCCTGGGTGCGTGGCAGCGGCGTGGCGGGCCGCCCTGGGTGCGTGGCAGCGGCGTGGCGGGCCGCCCTGGGTGCGTGCCAGCGGCGTGGCGGGCCGCCCTGGGTGCGTGCCAGCGGCGTGGCGGGCCGCCCTGGGTGCGTGCCAGCGGCGTGGCGGGCCGCCCTGGGTGCGTGCCAGCGGCGTGGCGGGCCGGCGTTCGGAGTAGTATGGTGAGCGCAACAAGAGTGAATGGGACAGTGGCTGCAACTGGAGCAACATGAGGGTGAGGACGCCCCACTGGGGGACGGGCCGCCACCACCACCACCTGGTGGTAGTCTCCGGCAGGACCACAAGCCCCAGGGTGTAGTTATCTTGGTGTGAGGGTATCCTCAGAAAATCAAATCTCAGCAGTGAAAGTTACTTGGGTGTATGTTTAGCGTGCAGGATAGTTGAGTGCAATGTGTTCCCGTGTGCTGTAACATGTGCTCCGGGCTGTGTGCACGAGATGAGGAGACATGATCTTTGTCACCTCGGTATTCTCTCTTGAATTATGGTTTTCTGACATAGTTCATAACACAATTTACGTGGGTTTTACAATTTGATTTACGTGGCTCTTTCTATAGTGTTATTTGGCTGCATTTTATGTGGTAGCTCACACTTCCCGCGACTCTTGAGCGATTGACTGGGCACCAGTCCCTATATTCCTAGTAGTAATAGGGGATTTCGAAACCGATTGACGGTTTGTGTTCCCATGAAACTAGTAAGGTAACGCTTACCATGAACTATGAATTGTGAAGGGAAAGATCTTAACCCTTGCCAAAAGGAACATTTTACGGGTTGGTGAGCCCTAGTTCACTTTGGGTTCTGTTTAAGAAATTAATTATTCGTAAGACAATCAAATATAGGAATGATTCATTAAACACAGAAATCACAATAGCGTGATGTATCAAATTAATAAATCCACAAGGGCAGTGACGAGGATTCGAACCTACGTCCGAGAGCATCCCAGACGCTGCCTTAATCGACTGAGCTACGACATGGTATGTCGTAGCTCAGTCAACGTACCACGTCGACTGACTATGGGGCTCGAACCGTGGACCCCACGTGTGCGAGCCCGTAGCATATAATGCCAAAGAGTTCAGTTTCTGCTCTGAAAGCACCTGCTGTATCTTCCAGGAAATATTGTCAAGAACCTCATATTATATCACAAAAAATCGGCTAGCAACCATAGAATAAAGGGGGGGGGGGGCACAGCAGTAATGGGCTGGCTACCATAGAATATGAGTATCCATTACCTGGTGGTTACCTTGCGTTGATTTAGAGTATCAACATTCCCGCGGCCCGGTTTCTGACCAGGCCTTCATGTCGTAGCTCAGTCGATTAAGGCAGCGACTGGGATTCTCTCGGACGTAGGTTCGAATCCTCGTCACGGCTCTTGTGGATTTGTTTAGGCCTCCCAGTTGATCTGGTCAACCAGGCTGTTGGACGCGGCTGCTCGCATCCAAATCTAGGAATCACAGCCATGGTATCTTACGTAATATAATTCTGTAATAGCCAATATTTTCTTAAATTCATGCTTTTGCTTTTACTTGAACAAGGCGCTGATATTAAAGTGTGAACTCTTTGTGTTGAGTAGGGGACGGGTCAGGAGTTCACTGGCGGTATGTTCACTCGCAGGATGGGTGGCACTGCCCAATAAATTTGACCTTAGGGGAAAAAAACCCCACTGAGCATGTAGGTGTTTCGACTCTCGTCTACAATTTGGGTCACCTGAACATTTCTATTGACAGCTGCTACAATTACCGTCCACGTTACATTTTCTGTTAAGACTTTGGATATAAACATTTTGCCAGTTTTTACAATAAAATCTGCAGATTAGTGCCGAGCGTTCTGAAGATAAGTTCTTATTATTACTACTATCCCCCTACACCTTACTTTGCTCCTCAGCTCTCTCTGGCCTATTTATTGCCTGTCTACTTCATCACAATCGACTTGAGAATGGTCCAGGACGGAGCGAAACGTGGTCGTCCCTTCACCTTCTAGTGTGTGGTCTGGTCAACATACTTCAGCCACGTTATTGTGACTCATTGCCTGCATGAAGATAAGTCATTAGACATGTCCTAGCTGCACGGTAGCCAACTTGACAACCCAGACACTGGTGGAGACCTGACTGAGGTCAGGGTCAAGTGCGTTTATTGAGACAATAAAATACCTCTCAAGGGGATAGAGCAGCTTAGGCTACTTCTACCCTCCACGAGGTCAGGTCACCACCAGGGTTGACCACTGTGTTTACTTCCCGTCCTCAGTAGTGTACACAAGTGTCGAAGAGGTCGCTACCTGCACTAACTTTACTCGGGTTAAACTCGGGTTCCATTCTCGGACCCTGCTTGATACCTGGTTGATGGGGTTCTGGGAGTTCTTCTACTCCCTAAGGCCGGCCCGAGGCCAGACTTGACTTGAGAGTTTGGTCCACCAGGCTGTTGCTCGCTGGGAGGACGTTGAACAACCGTGGACCTCTGATGTTTATACAGTGTTCTCTGATTGTGCCTATGGCACCTCTGCTCTTCACTGGTTCTATTCTGCATTTTCTTCCATATCGTTCACTCGACCTCCTGCTGCTCGTGTCCTCTCACTCGGTATTTGCAACTCTTTTAAGAGTCGGGGAAGGGAAAGCTTGAGGCTGCTTGATGGGTCTAACCCGGAAAGTGGTGCTTTGTGGCTTGTGTTTAGCACGGGTGGTGCTGGCATCCCATCACCAGGCTCCTACCTTGAGGTGCTTCCTTGAGGTGCTTCCGGGGCTTAGTGTCCCCGCGGCCCGGTCGTCGACCAGGCCTCCTGGTTGCTGGACTGATCAACCAGGTGCCCTGATCCTGGTGGCAGGGCATCTCTCCCGTGTGTAGCTTGTGGTGCAGCCCGTCCTCCTAAGGTTTCCCAACGTCCAGAAAACGGTCACATTAAAGTGTCCTCTCCTAACCTACCACATTTTCTACTACGGCAATTGTTGGCCTTGAGTAACGCATACGAGCGAAAAACGACGTTCTTTGTGAGGAGGAGGAGGAGGTTTGCGGGAGAACTGGGCGACGCGGGCGTCACACTTTGGTCACCCCTCCGATGACCTCTGCCAAATCTCAAGTAGTGAAGACGGTCATGCGCAACTCTCCTCCTCTCCTCTAACTCTGCTCCTTTTGCCGTTTTCTCTATGAAGCTTGTTTAATATTAGTTCAATAGTCTTTTAGCAAATATGTCCATGATGAGGACAGCAACGTGGAGATGTGTGGGGGAGAGTGGGGGTGGTGGTGGTGGGAACCTGCCGAGGTCAGAGAACACTTTAAAGCGTCCCTCCCCCTCCAGGGCCCCCCCACCACCCCGCCAGGGCCCCCCACCACCCCGCCAGGGCCCCCATCCACCTCTCATACTCCACCACCCTTCCAGGACCCCAACCCCTCCTGGCCCCCACCGCACCACTAAGAGAGAGGGGGCGAGTGTTGAGGATGGTGGTAATTAATAAATAATGATACCAGATAATGAGATAGATGGTGTGGGGTGGAAGATGGTAGGGGAAGGAGGAGGATGAGGTAGAGGGAGAAGTGGGGAAGGAGGAGCCCCGATAAAGGAAGGGGGGGCGACAGTAACACTAGACACAATGCATTGGCTGATAGCTTAATTAGCCTGGAAAAAGTCTGGGGTCTTTTTATCACCAATATGGCCCAAGTGATTAGTGACAAAAGTGTTACTTTAGAGGGGGGAGGGGGTTTGGTGAGGCAGGATGGGTCACCAGGGGGCGGGGTGAGGCAGGATGGGTCACCAGGGGGCGGGGTGAGGCAGGATGGGTCACCAGGGGGCGGGGTGAGGCAGGATGGGTCACCAGGGGGCGGGGTGAGGCAGGATGGGTCACCAGGGGGCGGGGTGAGGCAGGATGGGTCACCAGGGGGCGGGGTGAGGCAGGATGGGTCACCAGGGGGCGGGGTGAGGCAGGATGGGTCACCAGGGGGCGGGGTGAGGCAGGATGGGTCACCAGGGGGCGGGGTGAGGCAGGATGGGTCACCAGGGGGCGGGGTGAGGCAGGATGGGTCACCAGGGGGCGGGGTGAGGCAGGATGGGTCACCAGGGGGGACCCATCCCTCCCGGCCCTCTGGCTCTCTCCCGGTCCTCTGGCTCTCTCCCGCCCCCCACCACAGGCGAGGGTGTGCCCCACACCCTCAGTGGGTGTAGTGTGGGCAGCAACTTGTTGCAGGGAAGGCGGGTGGCGTCAGTGGTGGGCGTGGCCAGGTGGCAGCGCTGCCTCCACTCATCCCGGGTGGAGTTGTCGCGTCCGGCGCCCCCAGTGGCCTCTCAACACTGTAGTAATTAAACCCAAGGGCGACTAGCCGTGGGCCCGACGCCCTCAACATGCTTATCTGAAGCTTTGCAGGCATGGTAAGGTGTCTAGACGATAGTGGAAAGGGGAGGGAGGGGAATTATGAGGAGGAAAGCGCCAAGCCATTACGACTATTTAGCCCTTGGATAGGGTCAGGATAAGGATTTGGGATGGATACCTGGTTGATGGGGTTCTGGGAGTTGTTCTACTCTCCAAGCCCGGCCCGAGGCCAGGTTTGACTTGTGAGAGTTTGGTCCACTAGGCTGTTGCTTGGAGCGGCCCGCAGGCCCACATACCCACCACAGCCCGGTTGGTCCGGCACTCCTTGAACAAAACAGTCTAGTTTCCTCTTGAAGATGTCAACGGTTGTTCCGGCAATATTTCTGATGCTAGGTGGGGGAATATTGAACAACCGCGGACCTCTGATGTTTATACAGTGTTCTCTGATTGTGCCTATGGCACCTCTGCTCTTCACTGGTTCTATTCTGCATTTTCTTCCATATCGTTCACTCCAGTACGTTGTTATTTTACTGTGTAGATTTGGTACTTGGCCCTCCAGTATCTTCCAGGTGTATATTATTTGGTATCTCTCTCGTCTCCGAGAGGAGACGAGAGAGGGATACCTTAGCCCCATAGAGATGGGACGGAAGGGAAGGAATGGTGGCCAAACACTTGGACCTTAGGGATTGTACGCCGACTTTCATGACACAGGACCGTCGCTCTACCGTCCAGCCCAAGTGGTTGAAGATGATGACGGAGTTTTGGTAAGTTTTTTCAAATAATATTGTTGTTGGACTTAGTTTATATTGGGCAGGTCAGCCCAGCCCAGCCCAGCCCAGCCCAGCCCAGCCCAGCCCAGCCCAGTACATACGACGACAATATGGAACGTGTATAAAATATTCGCTGTTACAAAAGTGGAGGG